CTACCCATTCCCGACTGTCCGTCGCATCCCGGTGGTCTAAATAAAATCGGCCCGGCGAGTCTACTACCAAGCAACGAAAAGAATGTCATGATGCCCGAAGGTGTCTACTGTAAAAATCTCCTAAACAGTTTCGTGAATTCTATAAAGTAAACGAATAGCCTACAATTATCGTAAGGTACTTTATATTGTTTTTTCACATAGAGCCTACGGCCAAAGGAGTTTGAATGTAGTGGTTGGAAGTTCATTTTCTAGGGGTGAGTCCACCTTTAGATCTGTCTTGTGATGGATTAAGGAATCAGCACTTGTTGCAAAAATTTGACTTCGTGAACACCGTGAACTGACTAGTCAACGACGGGGGGCTTCACGCTTCTTCGCAAGACCTTGACATGAAAACTATGTATTATCCTACCTAACCTCATGGAGAAGGTGTTTGACGTGCTGCCAATGTCCGTACAGTACAATTTTATATTCTTGTACTTGATTGATTTGAATAATCCTCACTCTTCCCCCTTCCTCTCTTTCGGCTACCTAGAGTACGTCCTTTCATATCGTTTGCCTTTCCCTTTCTTCATTCACTGACTGCGTGTCTCGGCCCCCTCAACTCCCGACGGACCGCTCCTGTCTCACCTCCATCTACCTTACTCTCTCTCTCCTAATCGAACTCACTGTCCTCTACTTCCATACGAGAGACCACGTGGGCAGGAGTGAGAGTGAGGCAGCATAGGAGTAAGTCCTCGTAGTACGCCCCGGTCACACAACACACACACACACAACACACCGCACACACCACACACACACACACACACACACACCACACACCACACACACACCAACGACACACACACACACACACCGACACACCACACCAGTTAGCAAATGTATATAAAGTTTGAGACAAATACACACATGAGATAAATAATTATAAGGAAGGCCGAGTTAGAAAGTTATAGATTACACGACGGACACGAGACGGACAGGTTTCCGACGTAAAAAATTTCTGTATGTCTTACCGGTACATACACAAAACGATACAACACGCAGATGTAGTACGCAGAGGGAAAGATCGAACCGGTAGACCACGACGGGATACGACACCGACGAGTCGGTCGAGCAGATTATCGAGGTTATTCGGACACCCAAACGAACCGGAGTATGTGTGTACCGTTGTGTATGTATGCTGGTTATACATGGTGTGACCACCTACTTATGTGGTGTGTATGAATGTGTCACGAATTGTGTTTGAAAATATGGTGTACGAGGAGAGCGGATGATAATAGGAAGGCTCTCTTTCTCCGGCTTTATACTGGTAAATATAATGAAAATCGAGACCCCCGGACACCGTTCTGTCCGAACGGTCAGTCTTTCTTTTCCTCTTCTTTCTGACTCATCGCTCCGTTTTCCCATCCTCTTGTTGTCGTTCTCCTGTCCCCCTCTTCGGCCACCTGGTTGTCTCTTTTCTTACTCGTCTTCCCTCAATGTCCCAACTCCACTCTCCCTCTCTCAAGCGACCCATTACACCTCATCGCTCGACAACCAAAACAAGCGCACGTCGCCAACCAAACACATGTCAGACCGACACCGAACACACCCAATCCGACTTTGCTCGTCGTTTGTTTGGGCCCGTTCCTTTCATCGACTTTACGTGAACTTTTGTGTGTAATCTTCAACGAATTATTTGGAATAGAGTGTTCACTAAAAAGCAGGTACAACTACCAAACCTTTCACCAGACTACTCTGTTAAATACAGAAGTGGAGTACGTGTAAAGTTTTATAAAACACACACAAATACAAACAGGTACCAGACGACCTCCGCTCGGGACGGGACGGACCGGGCAGACGACGCGACGAGGCTAGTCATTCGCTGCACAGAAAGGTCGATCGTCTTCGGTGGGACCCAGGTCAAGGTTGATTGACTCTTGATAAATGTACGCCGCCCCTTTCATGTGAGAAGTTTCTACAGAATATTCAGTAAAGATGCGTCTGTTTATAAAGATGTTTACATTTGTCCTGTTTACAGTTGAATCCGAAACTGCACTAGGAGACCTACACCCACCCTAATACGAGTCTAAGTTTCGGTTCCAACAAGGTCCAAATAGGTCTGTTTTTGTCCAGAGAGAAATTGATCTACAAATAAACTTAGGGGAACCATTCTTCGATAAACAACGTGTCTTCTTGTGGATCTGGATATACACCAGAACCCCGACAGAGATTGAGTCGTCGCGTGGTTGTAGATGGTACCCTACAGCGTCATCATCCTACAACACGACGTGACGACACGACGTCTACTATTCTACACGACTTCTGCACGTTCCGATCGTACTACACAGGAGGGTTCTGAGGTGACTTGACGTACCTCCAGTACGACACTAGTAGACGCTACAGGCGTGGCCTCTAATGTATAGGCGTGGTAGCTTCACAATGAGCTGTCAGCATCTACTCTACTGATGTAGGTCTATGTAGAAGTGCAGTGCGGCGTTGACCTAGCGCGTGTGCGATGCAGGTGCAGTTGTGGTGATGTTGGGTGGTGTCGTGGGTAGTATCATGTGAGTATCCCCAGGATGTGTGAAGAAGAGGAGGCACATTCCGGTGCAAAAACGGTGTTCAATGAGACTGCCGAGAGAGCTAATAGACAAGGAAGAAGGCAGAAAAAGTAGGAGACGCTGAGACGGAGAAGAGACGCGAAGTGAGATAATAGCACGGTCGCGTAACAGCCTTACGTGGATCATTCAGCGTGTATACGAATCGTGTCTCGACTGTGGTACATGTGATGCGCTAGATGCGTGTCGTGGGCGCGTGTGCGTGAACATTAAAGCGCAGGTGTGAGATCGGGTTGTGTGTAATGTAGCTTGTCTTTCTTTGATTGTGTGCTGTGGTGTGTATGCGTGTGTGTGTGTGTGTGTGTGTGTGTCCCCACTGTGGATCGCTCTGTATGCGACAAGTATACCACTTGTTTCCCGCTGTATTGCACAAATAGTTCCGTTGCGACTGTGGAAACAAACCACCCCCTGGACGAAAAGTAATCGTCGACTTGTGGAAGTGTCGACCTTGTGTCTCCTGTACGGTGGGTGTCTCTGGCTGACAGATGTTCGTCTCCGCACTACCGTACACGCTCTCTTTCCCACACGCCACCCCTGACACCATACTTCGCAAATCTTTCCTCGTTTTGCCTTATCCCGACCCCTGCTACTATACTATCTCCCGTCGACCCCGCACACTTTACTACTCCGAACTCATTGCTACACTAACACTGTGAGACATCACCATCATGTACCTCTCTTCCGAGTCGCGCTCTTTCGACCTCGACCCTGGAAAGGACAACTGACTATACCCCTTGAAAGTCTTGACAGAATATACAACAGTCGAAATGACTCGTCTGATAGTGATCTCTACATTCGACTAAAACCAGTCAACAGGTTCACACGTACGTTCACACAGAACCCCTCAATTCTCCTCGTCTACACAATATATGTCCAGACACGATCAATTGTGCCTAGACGATTTTCTAATACCACGCACACACACACTCACACACCTCAGTCACACTCTACACTCACACACGTACCACGTCATCACACACTCACACACACGCACACTACATATGGG